CCTTCAACACGACATTATCACATCTATAGGCTCAAACCTTTCAATCTGAAACTCAACTATGGTAGGTCCTTAGTATATATCTTTAGTACATCTCCTTTATGAACTTCTCAGATATTTTCATTTGGGGTTGGAGTTTCTACGTAAGAATCATTTATGAGCAGAGGAACCCGCTGAGACCTGATCTGAATCTTGTTCTCAGTGATATCCTTTCCATCAACCAAGCTCAAAACTTCAGAATCATCTTTGATTCATCCCTCTTAATCTTCCTTATTTAGTTGGTTCTGCCAATCCTCCTTTAAAATGACTGTCACAGGTGTTTCTTCTTTTCTCCAATCTTACTGTTATCCCTGTGTTATGAAGAATGTTGGATTTGGAATGGGAAGATCTGGTCTCAGCTCTGCCTGTGGCTGCAGGACTAGTTGCTTCATCTTTAAAGTGAGGAGATTGCACAGTGTTAAATAAAATTCATTGGAGGCTATTGGTTTTGACTAGGCTCCTGCAGTAAGCCTAACAGACAAACTAATGTGGAGTTTAACTATAGTAGCTGATCTTTAGTTAATTGCAGGAGGCTCTGTAACCAGTTAACCAATAAAACTGTTACCAATTAAGCTGTTTCTACACTGCACTTCCATTTCCTATAAATGCTGTCAGATATGTTGTTGGTTGGAGTTCTCTGAACCTGCTCTGGTTCAGAGGGCTGCCCAATTCACAAATCATTTTTTTTGGTTTGCTTTGCTCTGTTGTTTTGTTTTTCTTTGCTCAAATAAACTTGTCCATTTGAAAACAGGATTGTCTCAAGTCCCTTTCAGAGCCAACATTCTATTCTCCTAATCCAGGTTCTCACCTTCTCTCACTTACATTGTAGTAATCTTCTAATTGTTTTTCATCCTTTAATCTCAGTCCTTTCTAATAAGGCTAATCTTCATATGTAATTTTCATTGCTTGTAGAATAAAATCTTATGTTTCTAGTACCCCGTTTAGGTAATATCATCATTTCTCTGGTTATTGGTGCTATCATGTACACAATCAGATTGTTTCCACAATTAGTGGAAACTTCATTTTCAGAGTCATCCTCTTCACATACAGAATTAAACCGGTTACTAAATTCTGTCAGTTCTGACTCAGAAATGTCTTTTGAATCCATTATTCTCCTTTGCCACTATTCTGTTCTAATCTAGTCTTTCATTTTCTCTTATCTGGACATTTGAAGTGACCTACCAAATATTTGCTCTGCCACCAGTTTTTCTTCGTAGTTACCATAGTTAGCTTTCTGAGTAAAGATCTGCTAATGTACCTTCTCTGTTCTAAAAACCATTGTCTCCACACTGTTTACATATGAAGTACAAGCTTCTTTGTAGGACTCACATGGTTCCTTCCCTTTCATTACATTTCTAATCTCATCTATTGCTTCTTGTTATCATGCACTCAGTTCTACAGCTGTACTACTAGCTGTTTCTTGAATATGCCTCTGTTACTTTTCTCATGTCATACTTCTGCCTGGAATCCTCTTACCCCTCATCCTTTTTCTGCCTGGGGAACTCTTCCCTTAATGGCATGATTTATGGAGTTATCTTCCTTAAAACTCTGAAAGAATTAGTTGCATTCTCTCTGTGTCTACTGTGCAGGTGGGGAGCATGTCAGAGTTACTTGTTTATATTTTCTTCTCACCCAGAATCTCTTTCCAGGTGGATTGTGAACTCCATGATATCTAGGGAAGTCAGTTTCTAATTTTGTTCATCCTCAGAGTTTGGCACAGGGTTGGGATGCATAATATGAACTCAGTAGTTTTTTGTTAATTGATATAAAATAATAAGGCTCCTCTGTTATTAGACAAAAAAAGGATTTTAATCCTATTAGTTTGAAGACTGCAATAATTTTCCCTCAGTCTTCCTTGCGCTTGAATTCTCTCATCTTTTCTTAAAAAATTCTTCTAAATTTTTTGTCTTCTTTATGTACTTGGGACCAAAGATGGCCGAGGGCTGGGCTGGACACCTGGTAGTATTATTGATAGGAGCCAAAGAGCCTGGACCAGTCTAATTATGACTATAACAATTGGGGTTTTGGCCAAACCATAAATAATTATACCTGTGCATATAGGCTACAGAATGGCACTTTACTTTCCTGCAGTTGACGAGGGGCCGGTCACCAAGTTAACACATACCATAAATAGGAGAAATGTTTTCATATTAAAAAAATTCTGTATAGCATATAGACATGTTTGTATTACAAGTATATGTATTTATTTAGTAAACTTTATTTTCAATAGGCATTTGCTCTTATACTGTCTAATATACACTAAAATGTAGAAAGCAGTTTCCTTGAGGGGTTTGGAATTGCTATGTCTGTCTTTATGTTATTTAGAAATAAAAGTAATTTAGAAATGAAAGAGTTTTAGATAAGAACTAAGCTGCTTGTAAAAGCCAGGCTATCACAGAAGTATTGGCCAGGCCAGGTTCACCTGCTTTTCAGCCTTGTCATGTAAAGGAACAAATTGTACTTTTATGATACTTAATAGTACATGCTACTGAAACATCTAACCTGTGGGGTATGAATTGCCACTACCACTTGGAGGAACTCCTGGAGAAGGGCACTCACATGGCATGAGACCAATAAAGCTTCCCTGAGCCATTGAAGTATTTCTGGACATTGTGGTAAAGGGAACATCTTTAACCTTCATCCTGAGGTATTGGCATCTGCCCAAAGATTGGCACTGACATAGTACAGTGCCAGGGAGTCCCATATATTCTCTGGGACCTTGTCACTTCTTCATGTGGTGACCCTCAAAGGTACCACATCATCACCTACCATCTGATGGTTAGTATACAAAAGAGAAATGGTAATGATATATGTACTTCCTTTCATTCTCAATTTAAAGCTGCAATAAATCTTAAAATTGCATATTTTTGAGTATTTTATTAATTTAACAGATAGAAGTTATATTTAAACTTATTAAGTGAGTAATTACTGGGTTTGTTCCTTGTTCCTATCCATATAATTGAGAGTAAAAGGCCTGTGCTTCAGTCTATTCTGTTCAGGCTTTCAAATTCCTCTGACAGCCTGGATGTGAAATTCAAAAGCCATTAATGTGATGTGTTAATTTTGCACTTTTTGACTTACTGCAAAAATCTTATAGTTTCCATAGCAACAATAACCTATCCAGATTGTATAAGATTCTTTACAGTATTAAAAATAAAACTATGCAATTACATGAGCTTCTGGAGCACTTCATTTACGGGAACTGGGGATTGAAATATTTTTGCTGGAAAAAAATTATGGTCACTTTGAAAATACTAAAGATTGTTTTAGTAAATGAATATTTTCAGAGTATTGAGTTATTTTTGCTTTTTTTTCTTCCTCCCCATTCTAATTTAAAAGGCAATATAATATTAGTAGTAAAGTTATTTAACATAGTTTCCTACATCTTAACTGTTTTTAATTTTTGTATTATCTTCAACATATGCATAGATGTATTTTTCATATAGTATAATTTGTGTATTTCCTCAGTAGCATATGATAAATGTTTTCCATGTTTCTAATGACCTTTATGGCCATTATTTTAATAATTGTATCACAGTCCATCCTGTTGACATATCTGGTATATTTTCTGTTTATCAAAATGCTGCTTAATTTCTTCCTGAATGCCATGTATTGGAGGAAAAATTGATATAATTTTCAAAATGATTGTGGTAGAAAGTAACCATAACTCAGTTATTGTTCAAAATATAGATGATTGTGAAAATCTTCAAATGGCACATAAAATGATGTTTGAAAATGCACATTATGAATAACCTTTAAACTGCTTTATCTAGTGAATAAGCTGTTACTAGCATTCTGTGCTAATAAACACAGAATGGGGAAAATGAGGAAGAGCTATGTAGGACAGATGTGGTACTACCTTGGCACTGTCATTTGACAAAACTATCATGACATGGTGATTCTTTGCCGAGACTCTAATATCATCAAAGACAAAACTTGGAGGGTATGGATTATGCCCCTGTTATCAGAACAACCCACAATGTGAACCACAGTTATGGCATTCAGCTGTGGCCTTTGTGTGGCCGGTTCTGGTGTTAGTACCGTCATGACATGGTGATTCTTTGCCGAGACTCTAATATCATCAAAGACAAAACTTGGAGGGTATGGATTATGCCCCTGTTATCAGAACAACCCACAGTGTGAACCACAGTTATGGCATTCAGCTGTGGCCTTTGTGTGGCCGGTTCTGGTGTTAGTACCCTGAGGATACTTACTGTGTTGCACTAGCCACTCATCTGTTAACATTATTATTGTTACATGATGTATCACCATTATTGAACTGCTGTCTTCTCTTGGTTGAGCACTCTGGAAACTATTGGGATACCCCAGAATTCCTAATTCTGTGTTCATTGTTTGGAAAATCCACTGTAACTGCTGGGTTTCTCCTACAATTCCTGAAAATGAGATGTTGGTAGCTAGAGTTCTGAAGTCTTTTAAAGGGTTTTGGTTAAAGTCTTGGGGCTTTTGAACATCCCCTCTTCTAGGTGAGAACCAGGTATTGCAATGGGTTCTTCCTCTTATAAATGCTTCTTATACTATGAAAGTACTTTAAATGAATATGGGAGTTTATGTCTGTTGGTTATTTTTGTAGTGAGTGTTTATAACAGAATGCTTTTATATACTCCAGATAATTAAGACTAGAGTGAATTATCTTGCAATATGTTAGAGTTTATATTTATACTTGTTTACTCTTTGAAACTAGTACTGTGTTTAGTTTCCTGTTCTGCTTTGATTTTGAGTTTTGTGTTTTGGTTCTGTCTGGTGTTTTCATCGTGACATGAATTTTTTTTTGGTATTTCATATTTTTGTAGCTGAAATATTATCAAAAATAATAAGCAGTGCATGGTATAGTAAGAGTGTTTACATATCACTGAGAAACTAAGTGTATTTCCATTGTTTTTGTAGTTTGAATCTGAAAGTAATAAATATGGAAAAATAAAAAATTTTTTTTTGTTCATGTGCAGAAAAGATGAAAAGGAATATGCATTGAAGCAAATTGAAGGCACAGGAATATCCATGTCGGCTTGTAGAGAGATTGCAGTAAGTGGATATAAATACAGTTATTTATTTTATTATTAATATTGGGCAGTGATTTATTTTTATATAGAAGAGTTTCATTAATGTATACAATGCATGATGATTTTACAGATGTTAATTAGTTTTAGGATATTTTATGTAAGATGAGAAAATCTGCATGAACTTTTTAATTACTTGAAAGTCATCTTTGAACAGTCTCTTAATGATATTTAGGATTTGTAATCTTAGACGTACTGAACTAGATGATCGTTTAATCAATTAAAATTATGACGAAATATAGTTAATTATTTTAATTAATAATGTAATTATGTCTATTATCCTGTACTTTTAGGACTGATAAATGTCTTTATAGAGAAAGGGGCCATACTGTTAAATCTTATTCATTTTAAATACTTTTTCTGAAATATGTAATTTAGTGATAGATTTTACTAGTAGCCAGAAAGATAAGACTATCATAATAATAGGATAATTAATCCTTTAGAGAAAAATAGTTTCCTTTTTTTTGTTTGTTTTTATGTGACACTCTGGTGCATTTAAGAAATGATTGTCCGTAAGAATACTTAACATTTACTGAGTGTTTACCAGGTACGAGGCTTACTAAGTGCTCTCAAGTATTAATTCATTTAATTTTCACAACAATCCTGTGAAATAAGTACTTTTAATATCCCCATTTTACGGATCAGAAAACAGAGGCAAAACCATAATTGTGGCTTATAAGGCTTATATAATCTTATTTTAGTTCTTCCATAAATATTGCTAATTAGGGCTTTATCATGATATCACATCTATTAGGAATTTCTGTCTCTAAATGGTTAAATATTTATTGAAATAATTGTTAAATAATTTATTGTCCACTAGTGATTTCTGTCTCTGATTTAGTAACTATTACATATATTGCCCACAGTTCCATGTTTCTGCTTTACTCACATGGAAACACTCCTGCATCACTTAGTCATAAGAAAAAGTGTAACACCAAGGTCAATCATTATTACACAGTGATCCCCTTACCAGCCAGCTGCCAAACGAACGAAATCCAAACAACATAAAAAGTGTGATGCAAAGAACATATCCAGCAGGAAATCTGTAGACCTGTATGTCTTCTGTCTGCCTTAGTGGCCAAGTTACTGATGAGTCCTAGTTTTCTTATCTATGAAATAAGGGAACCGTAAGGTCCCTTCTAGTCATGAATTCTTTGACTCCAGAATGGAAGCTTATCCCTGGACTCTGCACACTTCGAAAGGCAGGGACCTTGTCTTTTTGTCCCTAGTTCCTAGCATAGTACCTGGCACATAATAAATGCCCCATAAATGTTTTTTGAATAAATAAATGAATGAACAGAACAAAAAAATTCTACTAGATGTCCATGATTCTGAGTTTGCTTTAGAATATAAATTTGTCATTGACAATTTTCAATTTCGTAGCTATCCATTACCAGAATAAGCATTTGAAAAGTGATTTTTAGCTCCTTAAAATTCTTATACATTATATATCAACCAATATAACTGTTTTGCTATGTTAGAGTACCATAATTTAGAATAGCATTTTTCAGCCTTACCTTCCATAAGTTAATTGAGTAAGCAGCTGAAATTTAAGGTATTGATTAACAGGAAATGAAAACCCAACTGTAGATGTCCTTTTTGAAACAGATTTCTATGTACTGAGGAATCTGTGGGTGTGTCTGTTGTTATGTAAATTTGGAGTGTGATGGAGAAGCTTAACTCTTAAAGTCATTCACAGCCTTTATATTTTTATTGAACATTTGCCTTATATAACTTTAGAAAGTGTGCAGAGTTTCTGGATTGAATAACACTTTATCACTATCCTGACTACTTGGCCCTAATGTGATAGGGATTTTGATACAAGTTTCTCCTGGATATTATTACACAGTGGCTATGCACACACATCTTATACATTAAATCCACTAACACGGTTTTATAATTATTGTTTTATGCATTTTGTCCTTTAAAGCATTTAGAAGAAAAGAATTACAAACAAAAATGCATTTATGCTGTCTTTTCTATTTACCTATGTTATTTTATTACCTTTACTGGTGCTCTTTATTTTTTTGTGTGGATTTGAGTTACTGTCAACAGTCCTTTCATTTTTTTTTTTTTTAACGAATATGTAATTATAATTTTGGATGACGGTGTGCCAGAATACATGAGGGATCATGAACAAAGCAATGGTGGGGTGTGGGGAAGGCCCCTCACAGGAGATGGTGCTGAAGCTGAGACGGGGAGGGTGAGAAAATCCCAGCCATGCAAAAATAGGGGTAGGCGACTGCAGCCTGCAGTGGAAACAGCGTGTCAGAACTCCCGGAAGTGCACGGCATGGAGTGGTTGTGGCCATGTGGAGAGGGGAGAGCAGGTGGAGGTGACGAGGACATGGACGTGGATGTGGCCTACCTGGAGCCAGCAGCCCTGGATTAGCAAGACCTCAGAGGCCATGGGGTCAGGGGTCTGCGTTTGATCAAGAGGCAGTGGGTACCAAGAAGGGGTTCTGAAGCAGGGAAATAAAGTTTGCAGCTTCACTGAGAAACAAATAGCCACTCTGTCTAGAGTCCGGGGGATATATGGAGAGGGCACATGCGGCTGTGAGGAGGCCAGCTCCGGCATTTTTGAGTTCAGGCGAGAGTTGGACTGTCGTGGCTGTCATTGTGACAATGGGAAGGGCTTTGAAGTATGTTTCCAAGGGACAAATAACTAGACTTGCTGTGGCTGCGGGCGAGTGAGGAATCAGGGATGGTGACAGCAGCGAGGTCACTGGTGGGGCCATCTACTGAGATGGGGAAGCTTGGGAGATATCAGGTTTGAAGAGAAAATGAGAAACTCAGTTGTGGAGACATTAACTTCGAGATACCTGTGGGACATACAAGGGAATGAGTCTTGCTCAGTGCAGAAGATGAAAGTAAGAACTTACAGGGCTCAGGAAAGCTTTTCCATGTATGCACTCAGCAGACATTTGCATGTGCGAGATGGAAACTGCATTGTGCTCAGTGTGGAGCTCTGCGTTCTGACCTCAGTCTGGTGTAGTTGTTCCTGTGCTTTGAGACAGCCTTGGCCGTACAGCAGAAACATCCGATGCTCCTTCTTGAGAGCAGCATTTGGAGCGGCGGGGTGGAGGCACTTGTGCCCCGCCCTGGGTCTGTGCTGTGTGCTTTCCCGGGGACTGGATGTCCCTCCACAGCTTTGTTCTTGCCTGTCTCTTCCTGCTTGTTACCAGGTCTTTGAGGCAGAGAAGAGTCCTCTTTGTGTTGGGTCTAGACACATGCTTTTTTTTTTTGTCAATATACAATGTGGTTGATTATTATGACCCATCACCGAAACCTCCCTCCCTCCTCCCTTTCCCCCTTCCCACCCAAGAATGTCCTTTCCGTTTGCTTGTTGTAACACCTTCAAAGAAATTGTAGTTGTTATATCTTCTCCCCCCCCCCAGTTTTGTGTGTGTGTGTGTGTGTGTGTGTGTGTGTGTGAGTGAATTTATTTGTGTAATATTCTGGATATTAATCCTTTGTCAGATGTATATAATTCTTAAGATTAGGTATTTTAATTCAATGGAAGAATAGGCTGAAGAGTTAAACAGGAATTTTTTTTTTTTTCCTTTTTGTCTTTTTTACTGACCGGCAACGGGATCGCAACCCTCGGTGTTGCGCCCGCACCGCGCTCAGCCAGTGAGCGGGAACCGGTCTCCACATGGGATCTGAACCCTCGGCGGGAGCGCCACCGGGCCAGCCCAAACAGGTATTTTTTAAAAAGTGGAAACATTAATGGCCATCAAACAAAAAAGATGCTCAATCATATTAATAATCAGCAAAATATTAAATAAAGCCAGAATAATTTATGCTTTTTTTTTTAAACCCACCATATTGCTAACAACACCAAATATTGCAGTGATATAGAGTACTGGAGCTGTCATGTAGTGCTAGTAGAATTGTCAATTATTATATTACAGTACTGTGGATAACAATTTGTTTACCTAATAAAGTTAAGATACACATACCCTGTTACTAGCTAACATCACTCCTATATTTAGATGCCGTAGCAGTGCTTCTCAACCACAATTGACCTAATTTCCTCTTTTATAATAATTATTCTTTAGTCTCCTTTACTATCCTAAGAAGAAATTCATAGATGATACAACCTATTGATATGCATACTTTAAAAATCATTATAACTCAGTACTTTATTATAAAGAAAAAATAAAAGGAAAGTAATTTGTAGTGAAATAACATATTTAAATATACAAAAATCAAGCCTCTTAACTATAGTATTTAAATACTAATCAAGTCATAGACGCATACCTAATTGTGGAGTATGTAATTGAGTTAAAGCTCAGTGTGCTGTTTTGGGTAGTGTTGACTTGCCATTGTTTTTTTGTGTTGTGATAAATCTACATTGTGGTATATGTGAGCTGATTAATTTGTGGACTTCATAATTCAACTGAACATTCTGGAAATAAGTTCTAATTGTGCCCCAAATTCTTACCTTGAATTCAAAGCACAAGTGTGAAGCTTATTACTATGCTGCTATTTTTATCCCATCATTCAATTTTTCATTTCACTTCTTTTTCTCTTATTGCTTATCCTCTTTGTTGTTTCTCTTTTCATTTCTTCCTTGTGTCTTATTTATTTTCTGCATTTTCCCCCCTCCATTTGCTAAGAGTAGGTCTGTTTCGTGACTGTAGCTGTTTGTGATTCCACAAAGACTGTTTGTACCTGTTTATCTGTTTTTCTTCTTATGTGGGACTGTCTTCCTATCTGTTTTGCTCTGCATGATATGTAGGTTCATACTGAGAATCTTCCCAAAAGGCATAGAGAAATTATTTATTAAGTAAATGATTGCTCAATTAAGTTATTAATTAATAATTTTGAAAGCTTTAGTTTTCCTCTGAAATAAATTAATAATCCAGAGTGGATTTTACAGAGTTGAGATTTCAATTTTGGGGGTTTTGGGGGTCTTATATTAGCATTTTAAGAATATTTTTGGTATAGATGCATTCTGCCT